GCTCTGAACTGAGACCAAAGCTTCGTACACAAATTAATTTTTATTACTATTGTTTATTACAAAAATTGTTCAGATCCGGAAATGCTGGGCATTGGAAATTAATCATTAACCATACCTCGATATAATAAACGTTTTGCTTGCTTTGACAAAAATTCTTGAAATTGAGGTTTTCAATATAACAAGCCCTTGATATAACAAGCAAATTTTCCCAGTCCCTTGGCACTTCGTTGAATCGAGGTTCCAGTGTATGAGACTGTGTACAGAGGCTTGGGTGTGCTCTGACCTTGTCCCCTTGCCCCCCTTCCATCAGTACATGTTACATGTACCACCATCCATCATCACTGTCACTCATTATTTGCAAATGCATACATCTACATTTAAGAAGCTTGTGTATTAAAGCAGACATCAAAGTACAGAAAAGAAATAATATTGTATTTTGTTTCTCTATTGATTATACTAATAGCCCTTTTCCACATTATTGTGAACACATGCACCATCTGTGGGCTTGGGTTGATAATAAAAAAATGAAAATACAGAGATTTGTAAATATCAAATTATTTGATAATTCTAATAATTAATTAATATTTCTTTTATTTCCAGGTACAAAAGAAAAAAAGCTTCCAAGGACAAGCAGTGGAGAGAGTGATCAGTTTGCAAGACCAGGCTCACCAGTGTATGTACTTGAGCAAGTACATGTATCACAACATGAAAAAAAGAAAAACAATCTCTATTTACCCTACACTGTAGTAGGACAGAACAATTATTAAATCACTGAAATAAATAATTCAAATAAAATAAACAAGGTTAAGAACCCAATTAGCAAGTGGCAAACCTTATGGCTATGTATTGTACAAGTGTGTTTGGGGAGTCAAGCTTGGGCTTTAGAGGAGCAAATCCAGTCCAGTGCTTGGAATGAAGCCAAAAACTTGATCAACTCAAATGCGAGAATGCCTGTTTTTTTTCCTAGTTGTATTTTAAATCAAGAAGAACTCAGGGTTCCTACAAGGTCTTGAATTCTTGAAAAAAATTTCTTACATATGCGTGTCTACATTGCACCATGGTTACTGTACATTTGCATTGCATCACGAAAAAAGCTTGGTTCTTGCCTTTTTCAAGGTCTCTATTGATGACCTATTTGGTAACCTTGAGTCAGAAAAAATAGGCTATTGTTTTGGGAAAAGTCTGGAAAAAGTCTGGAATTTTGGATCCAAGAATCTGTACCAACCCAGAGAACTGCATATTAAAAAGTTGCAAACAGTAGGTAGTTTGATGCTGTTACTTTCCTGCCACTATATTCAGGTGTGCTAAAGAGTATGCCAAGAATATGATGACTCCTTTGGACCCCGCATGTTATATTTATGGAGAACAGTTTGACAGAAGTAGTTGCAATTTGAGTATTGACTTGATACTGGAAGAAATTCTCTTTACATAAAAAATATATATATTAATCTTCTCTAACAAGTTAATTTTATGACTGTGTGTACTGTTAAAACAGCCTGTCACCAATGGAATACCATGAGAGAGAAGAAATTTTAAAACTCAGAGCTTTGGGTTTGAAAAAGGTATGTAGATTAATTAATTCACAAGTATGTTGCATGGCTTGAATTGCTTGTGAAAGCTGCTTTTTTAAGCTTGTTGTATTTCATGAGCCCAGACACCTTGCTAGAGAAGCTGCCCAGTTTTTTAATAATTGTGATATCCTGTTTTCTTGTTTTCACTGACAAGTTACACGTTATCACTTCAGCCAGGCTTTTCTGTGGCCTTTGGTTGCTTTGAAATACTGTGCAAACATGTATTCTTAATTTTTGGCCCTCTTGGAGCACCTGTGGTAGGAGGTTAGAAAAATTGACCAAAAAAAAGCAAAAGCAAAAAATAGCAAAAGTGTGGTACAGAAGGACTCTGTTAGTATGACAGTATACTTTTTATGACTTTCAATCAAGAGCATTATTATTTGACATCAGATTGTTTTCTGAACTGTATATTGGGAGCAGAGCTGCCAGCATGGATGTCGGGGCATCATGCGATTATCTTGACAGCAGGGCAGTCGTCATTAGCTGGGAAAGCTTGCCACCTAAATACTCACGCGATACCCCAAAAAAGTGAGCTTGCTCACGGGTTACATAAAATTGTTATTACCTAATTAACGGTCATATGCTGAGGTTGCACTGACTATGCACTTACCATGAACAATAATAATGCCACGGATGTTTCATTTGAATGGATGCCTCACAAAATCATTTTTGTTCGTGGACTCAAAAACGTTGAATTGTGTATTTTTGAAATAAAATAAATCGCACTTTTATGTGAACCAATCTCAGAACATAGTGGCTGCGGGTCATATTTAGAAACTTTTGTTACCTTGAATTATCCCCAGGAGGAGACAGATGTTCAAACGGAATTAGAAAAATTAGACAGGGAAAGAATGCTGCATATACGAGAGTTAAAGAGGATACAAAATGAAGATAGCTCGAAGTAAGTCTCATTTTAGTGCATGCAGCTTTATCGACTTTGATGTGCTGCTCCTGTTAGGTTACTGTAACTTGAATGTATGTATTACAAAATTACTTTTACTGTAGCGTGGAACTTGGCTTTAGCCAGGTAGACAGTTTTTGGCCAAAAATCCATAACTTTGATTACTGGTACATGTAGCTGTCTTTTCGGTAACATCCCTTGTTACTGCATTCGCTTTTCAGATTTAAAGATCACCCCACTCTAAACAAGAGATATCTGTTATTAAATCTGCTGGGCAAAGGAGGCTTCAGTGAAGTTTATAAGGTGAATTATGAAGTTATGAATATATGAAAATCATATATGAGAACTTCTGGGAGAAGAATTATTTGAAAGAAGATCATCGCAGTTGTAGACACAACTTTTAAAGTTGCGAAAAGAAAGCCTGAAAAAAATTAAGGCTTGTATGGGATTCGAATCCTCCTGACCCTCGTCCTCCGCGATACCGGTGCAGCGCTCTTACCAATTGAGCTAACAAGCCAACCGGAATCCCGTACAAACCTGAAGAAGGTTAAGCCCTTTCCCGATAGCAAAATGATAAAACTTCTTACATTTGATAACTTGTTCCCACCACTACGACATTTTCGCTCAAAATCCTAGTAGAATGACGACGGCTACCACGTTTTCCCGCCAGAGTGACGTTAGTTCACGCTAGAGCACTACTACTAGTACTGAGAAAATCTCTAAAGCTCTCTTATATCATAAGGGGAGATTAGATTCGTTTGATTGTTAGAGCTAAGAGGCCGGGGTATCAACGGCTCAACGGGTGCTTTCATTCTTCGTTGTTGTTTATCTTCCTTCTTATATTTTGAACTATTTTAGGGTTATGACTTGTTAGAACACAGATATGTGGCCTGCAAAATACATCAACTCAGTAATGACTGGAAAGAAGACAGAAAAGCAAATTATATCAAGTACGTCTGCCTTTACTTTGTTTCACACTCTAGTTCCCAAACCTTTTTCTCTTTGTCTTTTATTCTCTATTTTCACCCCTTCTCTTATTCCTCTTTTCCCTTTGATCATGTCCACATGTTGTTTTTTCTCTTGTTACAGGCATGCGTTGCGGGAGTACAATATTCACAAGACTCTGGATCACCCTGTGAGTGGCTCTCTTGATTACCTCAATGACTATCGATACTGATTAAGCCCTGAGAATAGTGATTAGGGTCAAGCGCTGACTCGAAAAACGGTTAAACCTCGTCTCCAAAGGGAGGGAAAAATTTTACAAGAATAGTATACTGAGCGCTTAAACGTTGCTGAACACTGGAACCCAAGTGAACTCTGAGCAGTTGTTCTAGGCTTTCATAGCTAGACGCATGTCTGCTGGCATAACCAGTAGAAAAGGCTGTACTACAAGACAGCTCAGCGTCGCATGTGCAGACTCTTAGCCATGAATGGTGCTTTGAAAATATTGGCCAATACTGTGGCTCGTACTAGCCTGCTTAAGACAACAAGGCCGTAAAGTTCTACGCTAGAAGACAATGCATCTTAGAGTTCGCTGACCTTGACAACCTGACTACACAATTGCTTTGTTGAAAAAGAGCCGCCATGAATGGGTTACTGATAACTAGCGTCACGTACCATTAACTACATTTTACTGGCGTGACAGTAAAATTGCCTTTAGCTTTTATTAAGGGTTAGGGTTGATGCTATATACTTCCAACTTAAAGAACTTCTTCCCAGAAAATGCTTGGTAGTCTAGTGGTTTGGGTGGTAGACTGCAGATCCGATGCTCCGGCATCGAATCCTGCTCGTGCCATCCTGAAATTTTATGAAGCGGTCCAGATAAGAGCGATAGCAACAACGGCAACAAACATGTTGGAATGCAAAAAAGGTGCTAACTTTTCTATTGTCTGTATTTACTTCTGATTGGCTTAAACAGCAAAGTTAACAGAACTTCATAAAGCAGTACATATATTCATCCTTACTTTCCAACCATCTTCCATATAACAAAATCTGGTCTCACTTTGAATAACAAAGAAATCCTATGTGGGGAACATGTAAAATTGTAAACTTTTCTTGGCTATTGTTTTCAACTCTTGTGATTGGTCAAAATCTTTTAACACTAAAAAACACCCATTCAAAGTGGAGTGTAAATGCATTTTATTGCGTAAACGGCCTTCATGTAGGTTTATGCATTCTCTGTGTAAAAATGAGAACATTCCTATGTGGGGAAAGCACCGTTGCCGCATAACAAAAGAAATTGCTATCCACCTTACCCGGATCATTACTTATTCCGTAAACTATTGAAGAGACTTAGACTTTCATGAACATTTTATCAAGCAGAAATTTCAAGAGACAGAGAAATTTTATGTAGGAAAAGAGAAATGTCTTGTGAGAGCCACTGAGATGGAAATGTCAGTTTAGAGTATAGAGATGAGTGCTAACCGTATTAATGTTACTACAGGTTAACAGACGGCTAAGAGGACGAGATTTGACTGATTAAGTCTTTTTTTTTCGCGTATTCTAAGAAAAAAGAGACTCCTGAAAGCCTCATTCCAGAAAAGTTAACACGGTTATTTTATTCGAAGGAGGTTAATGGGCCCTCTCCTGACCGCAAAGTGACAAAACGTTTAATATTTAATTACTTGTTTCCGTCTGTATGACATTCTCGCTAAAACCCGTAGCAGAATGACGGCAGCTATCATATTTTCCCGCCAAATGACGCTGGTTCGCGCGCGGGCGACACGCGGGCACTGTTCAGTTTTGAGAAATTCTCGTTGCGGTTGTCGTCTTAAAAGGTCTTTAGGGAGTAACCGCAACGACAACCACGACAGCAACTTCGAATTCAAACAACATTGAATTTAATGAGCAAAACAACAATTTTACATGTGAAGCAAATAATTTGGTACATTTCTTTGACCTCCACTGCACGACTATGAAAACAATGCTTATGCAAAATAGTCGGAGCTAAACAAGGTGAATTATGGGTAATGTGCGCAAGACATTTGACTCTCACATTGCCCCACTCCACCCAGGTGTATAAGTGGCAGACCTATAATCTTGCTTTACTATGCACATGTGGTACGTAACTGTTCTCTTTATCTTGTAGCGGATTGTTCATCTTTATGATGTCTTTGAGATTGGACAGCACTCGTAAGTATACGCTTTTTTTGCTAGAAAATACATGCACTAACCAGTGCGAACATTTAGTCGTAAAAGTCTGCTTAATACAAAAACCTGCTTATCGTGAGAGGTGACAATGCATTTATGGGGCCCATTTACTGAAGTGTGGGAGTAAAAGAATAGTTGTTCCTAGTCACAATCGGCTTAATTCCCGTGCAATAAATTCATCGACAGTAATGTAGTTGTTATTGTGTTTACTCTCTATTTAATTCCGTTGTATATAGTCCTTATTACCTATCACAGAAAAAAGTTGTGATCTCGTTAGTTTTGTAAGAGGTAGCTTAAAATCAGAAAGTTCTGTTTAAAACGTTCCCTATAACATATCTTGTAATTCATAGCTACGCTCAGCCCAGGCGTGTTCTTGCTTGGTCTTTCAGGTTTTGTACAGTTATTGAATACTGCGATGGCAATGATTTGGATTTTCTTTTGAAACAACACAAAACAGTTCCAGAGAGAGAAGTAAGTTGGATTCGCCATTTGTACATCTACCATAATACACCTCATTTGCCCTCCAAAATGGACCTTTCCACGGTTTTTTTCAACTTTTGACGTGGACATGTTAAGGAAAAATCCATCAACACCACTGGAAAGAGCGCCTTAAGATTAGTAAAATTGCTTAGTTTGAAAGTGATTTGTTCAAAACTAACGTTCAAAGTCGCGAAATTTTACAGCCGTTTGTATGGGAGGGGTGGGGGGCACAAACTTGCTCAGTACGCTCAAATTTAAAAATTGGCGTCTGACACGGTGTGAAATGGGGTAACTATGTAGACAGATACATTTCTGGTACTCAAGGTATGAACACAACGCCATTTTCTGCCGGTACCCAGGCACTGGTTCCCGGGCGTAAGGTGTGGACAGCCCCTATATAGTTTCAGAAATGCAACTAATCTTAAAAGTGCCCTGGCCTTTGAATAGAAACTAGGATGGCGGTGACCTTGTTTTGGTACAAACCTTCCTGCTTTCCATGTGCAAATCGTGGTACTCTGATGCTAACAAGCCCGTGAACATGATCATTTACATATGAAAAACAAGAAGGTTTGTGACAAAACAAGGTCACTGCCATCCTCGATTCTATTCAAAGGCCAGGGCACTGAGCACACAACTGTAAAATGGTCTATTCCTAAAGACTCTGATGCAGGTTTGACTGCGGTGGGCTATGGGAGCGTTGTGGGGGACGAATTTTGACCCAGTGAAACAAGGTTGTGTCTTGGTGCTGCAGATGGATGCAATCGCCAAATGATGTAATGCAAAAGACTGAAAAGGCACTGAACAATACACACACCAAAACACAATAGCGAACCAATCTAACTGCCCACCTACCCCTCCCCTAACTCAACGTTAACATTTGCGTCTCACTTGAGGCAAAATGTTGGGTTAGGGGAGGGGTAGGTGGGCATTTTCCCAGTAACCTAAATTGATCCGAAATCCAAAACAAGTGATAGTGGCCCCAAAGCAATCCCATAGTGCAATGCGATACAGCACTGACCCAGTCCCCCGCGAACCTCAAAATAGCTTTCAAAGTTTAAAATTGTGTTCTTATTGTCTCCATAGGCCAAGTCTATTGTCATACAGGTATGTTTTTTTTATCTTTCAGATGGAAGAAACTATGTCATCGAAATCAATAGCCGGACTAGCTGGCGGGATTGTTATGCGCGCGGGGTACTTTCTACCCTGAGAAAACAGCCTTCATTCCGCGACACCACCACTGCTTTCCCCGCGAAATGACGTCTGTGGGATGAGCGCAGAAATGCAATACTGATGACGTGCCGCTATACAGATCTGGGTAGTGCTTCTGATTGGTCGGGTAAATTTGCTTCAGCCAGTCAGAAGCACTACCCCAATTGCGCTCGTTTCTCAGACATCATTTCGTGGGGAAACCAGTGGTGGCGTCGCCAAATGTCGGTTGTTTTCTTGGCCGCGGAGATCTCAATTAGACTTGCTCCCAAACTTCTCAAACTTCTCGCGGCCCCCCCGCCAAAAACAACACCAATCTTTCGCTTATTGCGCCAGCTAAGCAGGCTACCAATTTAATTTAGCATAAAACGTATGCAATTCTCTTAGAAATACTAAGGAAATGCATTGTGTTGATTCTAATTAACGTTAGCCTTGTTGTCTCAACTACTCCAACAAAACAGTCAGGAGTTTTCCTCGAAGTCGATTATGCAAGGCGCCCGCTTTAGACTGTTGCGCGAAGCGCGCGCGTCGTACGCCCTTTTCAGTATAGCTTTGTTGCTTCTTTAAATCCCAGACTACGACTATTCAAGGTAATAGTGGCCATGGGCACAACAACAAAGCATTGTTATAACTGTTATATTGTTTGTGGTGTTTGTTAATCAACAGTTCTTGTTTCTTTGTTTTAGACTGTTAGCGCCCTCAAGTATTTAAACGAGATAAAACCACCAGTTATTCACTATGATTTGAAACCAGGTACTTTTCATCTTAACGTCAATCAGTTAACTAGTTATAGTAAAAGACAGCGAATACCCTATTTCCCACTCGTGCCCAAAAATTTATGTAGCCTGTCACCGGTAGGACGGGAGTAAAAACTTGTACCCACTGCTGGGCGCAGCTTAACATAGCAAAACATGTACCGTCTCACAAGCCTTGGAAAATATGTATGGAAGCATGGCAGACGTTATGGACGGGAAAGGGAGAATAACACTCGTGCAAACGCAAAGAACGAAAAACTAGAGCTTCCTTTTTCTCCTTTTTTCCCTCTGCTACTTTTCTTGTTCTATACATTATTTTGTCACATTTTGCGCGATTCTAGTTTTCCTTCGTGTTCCCCCTTTTATCGCGTGTAAGTAAGGTACAAATAGCCCGTTTCTAAGTTGCTCAAGTCTCTGCTTCAAGTCAAGAGTAAGTGCGTTACCTTTATATGAAAGTAATCGTCTTGGTTCCCCCAGAATTTCAAGATTTTGCACTTGGCCTCATCTTGAAAATGAGGAGTTAAGCCTGGCAAGAACGCCACGATTTGTTCGACGAAAACATCCTATTATCGCTTTGAGAACTTGTGGTTCAGTCCAGGCAAGATAGTCAATGACGTGAATTGCTGTATGGCTTCTTCAGTGCGCTTATACGTGACTACGCGGCTAGGTGACTACGTAGTTACCCTGCTACATGGCTACGCTTATAGCCTGCGAAAACAGCCGTTTCTCCTCGCTCTTCGCCGCTGGGGACGTTTCGCGCGCAGGAACGTCTGCGACTCAGAGACAGAAGTTCCATACTGATGATATAAAATCTGTCCGGAATCCGGTCAGAAGCGCTGCTTAGTCGACGGAGTGGTTACATAGTTTTAGCTATTGTTTACGAATGACAGACAAACCAATATTTGTTGAATATCGATAGTCTTCTCTAGAAGAAGCATTTGAGTTTTCTGGAGCTTGTTCACAGATGAACACAACAGTTTACCAAAAGCGACCGGGAGAAACGTAGAATTGAACAAATTTGCATTTGGAACCCCATGACTACTGGATTTATTATGTAAACATTGATTTATATCATCACTATGGAATTTCTGCCGCTGAGTCGCGGACGTTCCTCCGCGCGAAGCGTCCCCAGGGCGTAGAGCGAGGAAAAACGGCTGTTTTCACAGGCTACTTCGCTTAAAGATTACGTGGCAACGGGGCTGTATCAGTGGCTTCATGGCTAAGTGCACGTAGCCGCAGAGGCATTTTCCACGTTGTCACTGTTCTAGAGGTAGAGCTTTTGAGTGGCCGAGTACTCTGCACTTAAACCTGTTCACTTATTTTGGTTCACAGGAAACATTCTCATGGTTGGCACGGGTGCCCTCAGTGGGGAGGTGAAAATCACCGATTTTGGTCTCAGTAAAGTGATGGACTGTAATGATGACAGCATGGAACTCACGTCCCAAGGAGCTGGCACCTACTGGTACCTCCCCCCTGAGTGCTTTGTTGTCGGAAAAGAGCCGCCTAAAATCTCGTCCAAGGTTTGTAAAGGAACTTCTATCAGACGTACGCGTCCCAACGTCATCCCCAGGGCGCTTTTCCCTGGCTTTGCAAAGATAGGGAAAAGCGCCCAGGGGACGAGGTTGGTGAAAGGTAAAGTGTTCTTCTTTCAATTTAAAAAATGGGACAGCTAAGGTAGATACATAGATAGAAAGTTACTGAGTTGGGATCGCGAAAATTACATATTTGTCCAAAAGTGACAAAGACGGGGTCTATAATTGGCCACAGAAAAGACTGTAATGGGGTAGGGGCTCTAAGAGGCCAGCGGCACATACCCAGCGAATCGGCCTTCTTTCCACTCGAGAGCAGTGAATCTGCTCTCCGAAACCGCATCTTGTTTAAACCAATTAAATAACAAGGATTACAAATAACTTCAAAATGGATGCAATAAAGCATAA